TAACTTTGCAGACCTTTCAGTTAGTTATTATATTGATACGTGAGATACTTGTCAACGTATTTTTTTTTACATTTCGTTAAACACTCCTCATTAATATCACGAAATCAATGGTAATTATTTTAATAAATATGTATACATCTGTTCATTTCATCTTGCATTGATTCAATTATTTTTAATGAAAAATTTAAGTTCGAAATCCAAATATTTGTTTCCACAAATCTTAGGACGTGACACAACATACGAAGCACAATGTTAAGACATTCCAGACTTCCATACAACTGTAAAAGGTTCGTCGACACATGCGAACGCGCAGGAACTGGATTTCATTCCTAGATATTAACTCGATCTAAAACCTGTTGAGAAAGAGAGAGAGACCGCTTCGCATGTTCGCAAGCTTTTGACGTTTCTCGAGAAGATTCTTAAAAATATACCAAGAACGTGCGCCAAAAAATGTCTTGCATGCGTTAAAGGTAACGCGATCCGCTGTAATTTTAACAATGACGCGCGAATTCCTTTTAGCTGAAATATTTCTAAAAAATGTTATCCGCTTGCAATCCAGTAACGAGCAGTTTCAAGCGTATAAATTACAAGTGCAAACTTTTCATCGCAAAGTCAAAAGTCTAATCTCGTCGAGCGCCGTTACTCTCAAGAGAAATACAGTCCACAATGCTCTAATGAGAGTTGCATTTCATTGTTATTCGTTGCATTGACATACATCTCAAATGCAGCGCCAAGAAGCTCCAGATAGCATCGGCAAAAAAATAAAAAAAATAAAAATAGAGGTATTCGACATCCTTGGGACTAGACGAGATACCCTGCCAAAATTTTCGTTAAATTTATAGTTCGCCTTGACGCAACGGCGATAGTTCTTGTCGAGTGCAGAACGGAGACTAAAAAATAATAGCTTTAATGTGGTTACGCACGTAGAGCGGAAATCACTGGTATTTATGCTGCCGCCGTTCATGATTATTAAATAGTCAGCAGGCAATTTCATTTCGGACGAGGTTCCACGAGCTACAATCTATATATCAATACAGAATTGTCACTTGCATGTTCACGTTTCGCATTGTCGGATTGAGAGAAGTCCATTCTGAGCGAACAATTTGCACGATCGACTTTTAGAGGCTGCTCGTGTTTGTTGCACGCGGCAGGAAACGTATATATAGCGAAACGTGTGCCGAATGCACGCAAAAAAAGCCGATGACCCGAAGAGAGCATTAACACGTGCGCGTGCACAAACCAGCAGCAGCGACGGTCACGAAAAAAAAAATTAATCAAAAAATGAAATCACAAAGAGCGGACTCGTAATTAACGGTTCGTGCGCACAAGTTAATTAGTCGTTCCTGCGACTTTGAGATGGCTGAAGTGTTGGCGATTGCGAGGAGTGATAAGGGACATTATTGTCGGGTGAGTGGTCGGTTCTACGATAAGAGGGAGAAATATTGGATTACATAATTTTTTGGATTTAATAATTAAAAAAATAATTCAGAGTAATTCAATTTACAGAATTCAAAATATCGGAATCCTCGCGAAACGAATTAGATCTGCAACATTTGTCTGGGATTAACGACATTGCGACATCGTTCATTCTCTGTAGAATCGGCAAGAAATTTGGCTTTGGTACATGCTCGGACTCACGTCAACAGTAAATCTCCGCGTGTATGATTACTAAACTCAGTTGCACTTATCACTCTCGCGATAAATGATAACCGCCAGTAACAACAAATCACACACAGAACCAACTGTATGCTCGCATCCGAAATTTGACCACCGTCTAATAATTCATCCGCAAACGCTGAATCCTCTTCATCATTTATTAAATTTTCGGGCAAACGTCCATCTGATACTATGAACCTTGATAATACAATGACGTTGACGCCAAATCATCAAACATTAAGGTACGTACGGTAAAATCGAATCAAGTTTCTCTCGTCTCGACTTTGACGTCAATCATAAATCTCACATGAAGGTAGGGGGAACTCGGATACAGATGGATGTACGCACACAATACACACGCGCGCGCGCACGCATGCATGTACGTGTGAATTAAGGCCGGAATTCGGACAAATATCACAGCTTTGTATAACGGTGCATCCGGTTTTCTTTAACACTGCCTTTTTGTTTAGATAGAGGGCTGGATTATACATTCAGCGGTAATTTATGCTCGGCTGATCAATATTTTCTACTACGGCGGTGACGTATATTTTGTATGATATTTTTAATTTTATTAGCTTTTTTTATATCGGAACCACGTTTATTATTCAGCGCAGTGATGTTACTGCGAATTGTAAAACACCATATTTCGATAATAAATATCGAAAATAAAATAAGCATTAACGCAAGCCACCATTGTAAATTAAAGAATAAAAGAGGGCCATTAAAGACACCCGCCGGTAAATAAAACCACAAAAGCGTTAAATGCACCAGAGTAGGAAACGCTTAGAGAGTATTATTTGGTCATGCTCCGAAAGCTTGTAGCACACACTTGTACCCTCTTTCAAAATTTAAATTGACACGCGATTTAACCTATTACTCATGCGCTTCATAAATAAATGAAAAAAAAATGGAAGGTTTTCGAGTATTTATTAAAGTACTTTGGAACGTTCTTATCTCGTGATTGTGTGAGTTGTCTGTACGATATTTAAGGTATAAAAAAATTTCGTTTTCCTTGTTTGTTTACACTCCTTCTTACATCGCGAAACATCACCGGAGATAAAGTATTTGCTTATAAATTAAATGAAAAGTTTTCATGACAATTGCATTCGACGTCACGTAATGTTGAAAAAGAAAATTCATTTAGTTTTCCACGATAATATCAATTTTGCCACTATTGAATGACAAGTCAAACACGTGTCTCTTGATATGAACAAACTGTTCGGCTGCAATACAAAAAAAAGTTTCATATCATGCAGTCAATGATAAATGCCGCCAGTAGCAGTGTCAAGTTCTGCGAATTTGACATGTGAGCGAGTATCGCCTACTAAAAGCTTGCGAGCGACGACGGCGACGCTATTTTAAATTAGCCAGCGAACTTCTGAAGCTTAAAGTGCAAGTGGAATAAATAGACGAGCGAGCAACAAAAGCATGCGCGAAGAGTGGAAGTACGCAATGCTTTTGGCTGCTTTCAAGAATTCTACTTTAGAATTTCACTGCCTGGCTAAATTATTTCTCCGGTCGATAATGTCAATAGAAAATTTTGATTTTGCAATTCGATTCGTTTCATTGAAACGCTATGAAAAAAATGGAAGGTTTTCGAGTATTTATTAAAGTATTTTGGAACGCGACCATCAGCTGTTGAACAATTTTTTATTCAAAGGAATGATCAAGCTTTTTTGATATGAGGTGAGATAAAGTTTTAAGTTTTATTCACGAATCATTTATTCTTTAATAAATAGTTGTTATTATAGTTATATAAATAGCACCTTTTAATACCATAATTCATAACCAAGAAAATTAAAACTATCGTTTCTATGTAAATAAATCAATTTTTCAATAATCCTCACTATTGACCGATAAACTTTCTTCGTAACACGCCTCTCGCAAAAGTGTATTAATTAGACAGACGGAACTTGCAAAATTCTCAAAGCAACGAAATTGTCCGAGAAGAAAAAAACAAAAATCATCGTCGCGTGTTCTCGTCTGTAGGTGACGTAGCCATCTAAAAATTGACATCGTGTATATGATTCGCAGGAAAAGCTATCAATGTATTATCATTCGCTCTCATTTCTGTTGATTCTGTGCCGTGTGGAATGTTCGACAATGGCGCTCTGTCTGTCTGTCTGTCTGTCTCTGTCTCTCTCTCTCTCTCTCGCGAGGAAAAATACGAAGTTGTTTTTATTTTTCGAGCTAACTTTGTTTGGATTGCAAGCGTCTCAGTTATGTCTTGAGCTTTTGGGTTATTGTACAGCGTTTTTATTATTTTCAAGTTGCGAATGTCAGTTGTATGACATAATTGCATGAGACAAGCAACTATTTTTATCGTGAATGATAAGGTGCTAGATTCAATGAATTGTTACAACTCGCGATAATCATTTACAAGAATCGCAACACATGAATGACGAAATACAGCATTACTATCGTAAAATGACTAACTCAACGTCCAGTCTGCATTTGTGTAAATAATCACCTTAACATTCAATTAGGTAATTGAAACATCAACACATTCAACATGTTCATATCTATATTGCACGCAAGCTATATAAGAAAAGAAAGTAATAATTACACGAAGACAATTGACCAATTTGCGAGCATCAAACGCAGGAAAAATATATAAATGGTATGCGGGTCAAATCGTTAAAGAATAGTAACTCGCAATGAAAAACTTTTTAGGCACCTGCGCTGCGACTTCAGAATGACACTAGATAAACTAGATCAAAGTTTTTAATGATCTTCAAGAAGTAGCTTGATTTTCATTTTTGAAAAGCCAATGTATTACCATAACTTTTTTCCAAAGCAGAAATGTTTATAAACGTGTGTTTGAATATCTTATAAGCACTTGTTTTTCTGCCGGTGAGACATCCTCGATAATAAATACCACCGCCGGGAAGGATGGCCAGTGCAATTTTCATGGAATAAAATATTTATGAGCTCTAAGCTTTGAAGATATTTTCGCAAACGTGAACTAACTGTATAAAAAAAACATTCTGTTCGGTAGGTCAAGCTGCACGTGTGCATTACATGAACACTCCGACCTTTTCTGTATAATACATGCATACAATCAACCCCCTGTCATAATTTCGTTATCTTACTGAAAAATTAATCTGCTAACTGAAACATCGTTGAGTCGAAAAAATAGAAGTTGGAAGGCTATTTACCTTCAACTCACCCCTTTCGCACAAGTAAACACCGCGTATGTGCACTTCGGATAGAATCATAGAATCACAACATTACATAGCGTTAAAATTTCTACCAACTTCAACAACAAATTTATGTATGTACGCAGCAATAACCACGCAAGTCGAAATGAAAAACAGAAAACAAAGTCCCGTATATCCACTCACATTAGTGCAGAATGTGCCGAAACTCCTTGCTTGCCTGATAGCTCTAGCACCAAGGAATCTGCCGGTAGTAACGACAAGCATCTTAACGCTCGCCATATCCTTTCTCTACTCTACTATCCCCACGTGTTTTTTCTCACTGCCGTGGTTGTTGTTCAGCAAACACGCGCACAACACACTTTGACATCACCATCGAGGGAAGCAAATGGAAACACTTGTTTGGAGAATTATTAAAGACGAGGACTGCCGCGCGATAAATGCGTTTTACAGCTCGCCGCGGCAGCGGCATCGGGGATTGAAACACGAACGCACGTAAAGCACACAGCACTGTTATTGATGAGGCAGGTTGTTATCTACGAAATAATTCTTCTTGTCTGCTGCGCCTTCCTTTTAACGGTAATGTACACGCGTTCGCCTCGCCAGCCCGGCAGCGACGAAACGAGTGAGTTCTCGCTTTCGCCCGCCGAGCAAGACAGCCAAGCTGGTGCTCACTGCTGTGTCATGCGCGCCAGAGAAGGTGACGAGGTCATGTGACGCATTGGATTTGACCGTCCGTGTACGTCGCAGCACGCATGCGAGATTCCACACTCCGTATTTAATTGATCAAGTTCACGGATGAAGGAAGCTACGAGTATGTACGTGTGTGTGTGTGCGTGCGTGTGTGTGTGTGAGATGAGATCACACGTTTAGCATTTGGGTTTTTATAGGCCTTCAATTCTCGAAAATTCAATTGTAGATTTTTTGTTTGTAAAAGTATTCTTGCTAAAATCACTTTTTTTATTTATCTTTTTTTATTGTGTTTATATCGTGTTTATATTGAATTTTTCCGGTTGGAAGAATTTGCGGAATATTTATAATTTTTTTGGAACGTTTAGCCGTGTCCTTTAAGACCTTTTAACAATAGAAAATGGAATGAAATAAACAAAATAAATAAATTTCATAAAAATGCTTTACGTTATTTAATAGATGCAGCATTGTATTTTGCACTTTCATTAATTATGCATATACGACAGTTGCTTGCATTAATGATATGCATGATTAATTTAATAAATATTAAATAACATTACTTTTAAAGTATTCATTTGCAAATTTTTTCATACTGCAAAACTCTGCTTCGTAAATAAATAAAACATTGCTGTTAATAAAGTTTTATGTACTCGTAGATATTTGTTAAACTTTTTAATGAGAAGTAAAAAGCTCAATATAATTCCCAAATAATGAAATGCAAAGAGATTGAATGAGTTTTGCAATGAAAGTTTTGTATTACCATGATGACTATAAACTTATCACTTTATAGCTAAACTGATCGTAAACACTATTACCAAAGGGATAATCACAAGACTGTGATAGCATAATTCAAGCAATCATTCAAAGGAATGACGACTGGTGAAGTTTTCCAAAATGGTTCAATTATTAGTTAATTATGAAATTTTTCGTTGTTTGTTTAAACGATAACAATTGGAACTATTCATTTACAAATAATAATCTCATTATACATTTTATCATTAAATAAAATTTTAGACATTTTTATCATCACTATTATTGTAATGCTATTACATAGTGGTACATAATTTATTGAATTGTCAACTAATAGAAACTACCTTTACATTCAGATGTTGGACAGGTACAAAATACCTACTAGTTGAAGCTACACTTTGTGGAAACTTTGTTTATGAATTTGACCTTTGTTATTGGTTTCTTTTAACAGAATAATTTGATAAAGAAAATTATGGCAAAACAATATTAGAGAAATAGAAATAGTAGATGCTATTGCAGATTTGTGTTTGTGTAAAAAATTGATATATTTTGACAGGAAACTATTTTCAAAAAAAATATACAATTAATACCTAAAAATACTTGATTAAATCTATTTCTTTTGCAAACTAATGCTGTCTTATATAACTAATTTTTTCTAATTGCACAAGTGGTTTCAACTGTTCTGCAAACACACGAATATCTTCAGCAATGGCATTCTGACCGCTTGGTGCAAGTACACTCAATTCAACAAGATAACTCTGTGACAGAGCATCCATACTTTCAGGAAGCTTTCCAGTTTGATTCATTTTAAAGATCTTTGATACAGTCACTTTCATCCTACCCTTTCTAAACATATATCCCTTAATCATATATTCAAAGTCTAATCTACATCCTAATTCTGTGAGGAAATCTACAACTGTACTACTAGTTGCAACATCTATGCTGCTGCGAACAACTGTTGGTTGAGATTTGTCTCCTAATTCCGGTTGACCAATGTACCTTAATTGCCATGGCATATCTTGGTAATCCAATGCTCGTCTTACTCTTAAGAATAAAGGTGGTTCCGGTGGTGGAGCTTTTCTTATACTAAAGCACATTTCATGATCATTGAATGTTTCTGGACCAGTGTCAACATTGTCACAAAGACCACGTAGCCTGTGAAGTAAGACTTCAACTGCATTGTCAAGTACTGAGCCTTGTAAAAAGTATTCTTGATTTGGAATAATTTTAGCTTTCAAAGCAGCTGTGAGATTATCAATTGCAGTGCTTATTGGGGCAGCAGTCATGATTTTTCTTGGTTAAAATACAATTTAGTAATAATATATTTACATATTAAAAAGTTTATATTAGCATAATGCTAATTTTCAATTCGTACTTTTATGTATACTGGAGGTTAGTTTAGCTCCTAAAAAATGTAATTAAAAAAATTATTTATCTATTAGAAATTAAAAATAATATTGGAAGGGTTATGCCAACTCTAAAATGTTATAGTAAATATAATAATTACCTTGCGATTATTGATTGATTGTAAAGTACATATTTTACTGGAACTAAGTTGTATATTAGAATTATTTGTAATTTAAAACGTTTGTTTACAACTTTATTAGAGTAAAAGAAGAATCGCTTCAACACAAATGAAATGAAATATTATAAAGATCATTCATAGGTTAGTATTTCTATCAGTTTCAGTAAGCTTACTTATCGTAGAATGATAAAGCAGATCGCAAAATACTCAGCGTTTTTAAAATTTAAAAGAATTTGACTATATCGTGAAAATACTTGATTTTTTTAAAGAAAAAGTCTATCTAGTAAAGTAAATAGTCATAAAAAATATTATACAGTTATTTTCCTTTTATTTAATATATATTTTATTATATTTACACCTAATAAATTTGTAATATTTGGTAAAACGTGATAAGCGACAAATGTTTAAATTTTCAAAAGCCAGAACCAAAAATCTAGAAAATTGTTAAGACTTGTGAATCTGACGCCCAAAAAACTTTTTTAAACATATTTTTGAGTTTTCACAAGCTGTAGAATACAGTGCATAGTGAAAATCGTCAAAAGCAAAATTGTTTCGTAATCCGGGAATAAGGAGCTATCATCCGCTATCGACATTATTTCGTTTAAAATAGGAGAAAAATGTTTAATGCATATTGCGCGCTATCCGAACGCCCAATTTTTTTTCGCAATTTTCTTAAAAACGGAAAATCCGGAAATAAAATTTCAAGCGGAGACCTAATTCGGAAAAAGGGAGAAAACGTTTTAGCTTATGAAAACTCAAAAATATGTTTAAAAAATTTTTTTGGGCGTCAGAGTCTTTTACGGTTAGAATCTGAAAAAAATGCGGGTTTATCAAAAAGTTCGAAACAATCGAAGCCACTTTCGAAAAATGAAAATTAAAACAAAAATACGATTCTTATCTTTTTCTTTTAACGTTAATTTTATAGATGAAAAATAATTCTCAGTTTGGACTCGACAGTTTCGTGAATTAGTATTCACGTTAATGTACGAATACAGAAAACGCATTTTTTTATTGATAAAACTTTAAACCATAACAGTAAATCATTTCAATGTTTATATATTAATTGTAGGTCTACTTTTTCGTTGAAGCAGTTATCCTTCAAGAGAAAAAGTGATAAGGTATCAAAATGTGAATCTAAATTCATTGATGTTTCTTTAAACATCAAATTTTAACTGATTTTGTTTTTTTAGACATATTGAAAGGATATATTAAGTTAATAAAATGACATCATTAAACGTTCATTTTCATAGTCATTATTATTCATATTAACAATGATTTTTATACATAATTTGTTAATCTGCCACATGGCACAAAGGTCAGTATAAAAAGAAAAACAAATGTACAAACGCAATAACAAAAACGTTAATAGATCCTATATATTTAACATTTATTCATGGCATTGTGGGTGGCATCACGTGTTGAAAAAACATTTCACACGCATTACGAGATAAGATGAGATAAGCGTGTATCGTTTAAAATTTGTGGCTTTTTTACATTGAGAAAATACAATTGAGTGTAGCGTCGATGATAATTCTATTTGGAAGGTAAATTTTATAACATTGCATTCGTCATTTGACAATTGTTTTCTTTTATTTGAAGTGTTACAAACATTTTTATGGCAAATCCATGACCATAAAGTCATTTTTGGACTTTGATATGCCTTTCGATCACAAATTATTTGAATGTAATATGTATAGTCAAATTTAAATTAACAGTCATTCTAAATCAATTTTCAAGTAAATAGAAATATTACAAGTTATCAACGTAATCATCTTACAAACACATTCAACAGCTTCCGTTTCATATAGAGCTCTAGAAGCGAATACAAAAATATATAAACATACTCGCATATTTAAATTTTAATTGTCTAAGTATATTTAAAACTTAAATTGATTTTTGAATTTATGATAAATAACTGTAAGTACTGGTATCTATTAACTATTATTTTTGATTTAGTATTCGAACGATATATAAATATTTTTACAATAATAAAAGTAGCTATCTAAAATTATAGATTCAGAAACTTAAGGTGATTTGCTGCCGAAATCGCATATACTCTATGTAATTGAGAATGACTGTTAAACGCAAGTATACTGCAATTGATAAATATGCTTTTTAAGAGTAAATCTAATAACTAATTTTAAAACCGCTACGGTTGATAGGAGGTAATAAACACAAATGGTCAGAGAACACATCGTGAGAATTGATAAAAAATGCTTTGCCAGAGATATCGGCCTGATATGGATTTATTGTTTTTCTTCCACAATATTTTCGCTGATTGAATTAATTGCGTACTTAAATTTCGTCAATTTTCTTACTGAAAGGTTACATCTAGAGTAGTAAGAAAATATTATTTCTTTTACGAAGACTAGTTGATTGTGGATGTTTGCGTCACATGAAAAAACAATTGGTTAACATTAATCCGCTATCGCTTGATCGTGTTTCATCGACTTACATTATATTGCAAATGGTTTCTTACGTACATTTATTGCGCACAATTATAGCTTTCTTTCGATACATTGCATTGAAAAACTCATTTTAAGAGGTCAAAGAATTTTATCTCTTTCAATGATTGAACACGAGCAATTATATAAATTATTTAATATATATCAAAAAATTCTTTCATGCAGATGTAGGTTTATCATTTCGAGAATATTGGGTACTAACAAAAATCACAAAAATTCTATAAAAAATACAATTTACAATCATCTTCGACCTCTTAAATACAGCATAATTATTGATATCATACCTCTTTCAAAGCAACATATTTCCACCAACATACGATATCTTTTTACAGTAATGTACAAACAAGTACGACCTATATTTACCGATGCAATATACATTCCCATCATCTACTTATCAAACTATATTGTCAAAATATACAAGGAGACGTTATAACCGTCACAAAATTTTTCAAACTGTACACGTAACAATATATCAAGAATGTACATAGTTTTATAAGCAGTCATATAATAAATAATCGATATATGGCGCGTCATATTCTTTCGCCTCTGCTTCTTTACATTTCTCCTCGATGAGTTTTGAGATTCAATGTAGTTTATTTTATAGAATCATAACAAAGTACCATAGCTCAGAAGAAAAATGAGTGCACCAATTGCCATTAAAATTGACTTGAGGACAACTTATTCGTGCTAAGTGACTTACGGATAGAAGTTAGATAAAAGAAGTGGAGTAAATCAAAAATTTATCAAGAGAAGAGTTAACTCCCAGGCATTACATTTTTTAAATACCTTCAGAAACAATAGTTGTATCCAAGGCACAAAGTGATGCAGCAGAAAATCGAGAATGAAACATTTTTGGTGTCAAGCGGTTAATTACAAATTTACAAAAATATTGAAAATTTAGAGTGACCATTTAAGGTTTTTAATAATGAAGATTTTACCAAAATTATATTAGAATTCGCAGAAGAGATGAAACGTTAATTGCCTGAAATTAAACTTCACAAAAAAGATGTACTGAAAAATTATGCAGAAAAGTATTCGAAAAATTGTGCAAAATAAACTCTCGAAACTGACCAACTCATTGAAATAATTAGTGTAACTGCCTGCATGGTTCAATAGTGATTAGTGAGAGGCTGCGATTTAGGTTGTTTAAAAACAGAGCAAGGTTCAATAACGTTGATGTGTTTAATAAGCTAACATTGGCAGATCTTGCATAAGAGCTCCATAATAAAATAAAGGCATGAATCTTGTTTTTGATGTTGGTGACAGTACCCTGAATTTTCTTCATGTTAAAATTAGGAAAGAAGTGTTTAACGTAATGGTGAGAATGTATTTTGGGGCGGGGGAAGATTCCACCAAAACGTTAACTGAAGATTACGTTAAATAATACAAACTTGACACAAAAAAAGTATTAAATAAAATTAGCTGAACAAAAATTGAAAAGAATGATTTTATTGAGTGGCTTAACAAGACTTGTAAGAATTCTTCAACTTCTTCCTATAAGCTTTCCAATATGCAAAGACAGAGCCCCAAACGAATCTGCCGCTTAAAGAACAGTGATAATATTGGCCATTTTACATAAACATATAGGTCTAGACATTTTTCTTTTGGAAGATATTCTCACGTTTCCTTTGAGAATAGAAATAAATAGTGACAGATTCGTACGTCTTTTAGAACAGCCATCAACGATACCGTGCTAAATAAAGGAACTATTTAATACTACAAAAAATAACTTCAAAGAAGTTCAGATAAAAGTCTATAAAAACGATGACGAAGAAGTAAAGAACAATCGTTTCTAGAATCGTTTAAATTAGACAACATAGAATACGTCAAGAAATGAGAATTCATATTCGAAATTATGCCACATAGCGGTGGCGTTTTACATGTACTCGCCAAAGATATCAAGTTGATTCATGAAATTGAAATTGAAAAAAAAATTAAGAAATATCCTTGATGATGATGATAGTAATAATGACCCAGAGTAGAAAAAAAAGAAAACTGAGCTAAAGAATCAATTTACAATGTATACGTTACAAGGAAAAAAGTTAATAAACCATCTTTTACATAAAGCAAAAAGATATTTTGTGATACAATAAATAATCATACAAAAGTTATCTATTTAGGCAATTCAAGTGCTCAACACTCCATTTGTAAAATTACTAATTCAACATTTAACTTAATTAAATAGATTATACGTATTTGGATTTAAGTTTTATTGCTTCTACATGGTGTAAATCATAATAGATATAATTAATAGATTTTCCACTTAGAATATTTACTCTTATTTTTGATTTTCTTCTCTGGTTTTATTGCAAATAAGTGATAAAATTTGGTTTTTCAGTAATGATCCGATACGAATTGTACAAATGCAGTGTTTTGGAGTTTATAGATCCGTAGAAATATTTCTATTTGGTCCGACGACTAATAATTTCTTTTATTAACTTAATTATATCTGAAAACTGGTAAAGAATAAATTTTAAATGCATCAAATTTATTACAAAATTTAGAAATTCAAATAATGGATGTGTCGACTGAATCTTTTGAAGGACGTAAAAAACGAAGTTATCAATGGCACTGGTCCAAAAATACTTCGCAATGAATATATAGCATAGTCCCAGTAAACTAACAGTAGCTGCATTATTCTTTGCTTAACATAGGCTGCCTGCGTCTATTCAATTTCTTAGTGACTAGTTATAATTTCTGCTTTGCTTTAGGCCCTTGGTATTATAGGCTGCTCTATACATACAAGTGATAGTACTCCGTCAAAACGCGAAAACGGAAAAAAAATAAGAGCCTCAAGCGAAGTTTCATGTTCTGTATAATCATATGTACACTAATTTACAAGCCTCTCTCTTTCGGTAAGATCAAGACAATCGCCCTAAGTATATCATCGATTTTGGAATCGCTGACGTTTCATATTAGCATCGTTTGCTAGGTCATCACGGTATCTGTCAAATCGTCTTTCAACCATTGTGGTATCGTTCTTGAGCCCAATCGCTTCAGAAGTTTAACTAATGCTGTGTTATGCGATAAATAGTATCTCTGCAATAAAAAAAAAATATTCATTTGGTATATTTGTAATGAAAAAAACAAAGTAAAGTTTTTTTCAGTTCTATTCAATATCTACCTGCAAGAATTTGTAGGATCTATCCTCCATTGGTGGATATTGTCTACCCTTACTTTTACCCAGACATTTGGTACGACCTTCGTTTGTTACCTGGCAGAAAAATCCTTTCTTTGGGTCATACCTTAAATGCGTGGAGTAGTTAAAAGTTGGGGTTATCTTCAGGAACCTCTGCAACTCGTGAAGAGTTTCAATTGGATTCTGACGCAGCTGTTCACCATCGATTATATGTAACTGCTGCGCTGGATAATATGAGAGCCACCTCTCGAGATGTTGTGCGTATCTACCAGGATTTAGACACCTAAAAATATAATGGTTTTAATTTTTACCAATCATTATTCAATCCGCTTAGAAAGAACTATTGAAAGAATTGATACATTAATTTAATTCGTTATTATTATTGAAATTAAATGTAGGGCTTTAACTTCAAGACACTGAAACTAATTTTATAATAACTTTTGATTTTGTGAAAGTTTAGAATGCATTATGTCTTTGAAATCCATCCGATAATGTAAATGAAATAGCTTCAGGAATAGCTATATCGTTATCAATTCTACTTTGATTTCATTCGAAATATCAGAAATATTCCAGACTAAGTAATTTTTGTTTCGTATTATTTAAATTGCACGAATTGATTGTCCACCGAATATTATTTTTACCTATTCCTAAGATCCCTAAGTGGTTTAGGCGCGGTGTCAGTGGCAGTGATAACCGAGTGAAATGAATAATTTTTAGCCGTCACGTCACCATGAACCTTGGTATGTTGATACCAAGAGTAGGCTCGCCTCGCAGGCGATAGGAGTATCGTAATGAGCTTGGCTTTCGGTAGAAGCGCGTGAGCTCGTCGAGGAACCAATTCACCGTCGAAGTACGTCGCGGACTTTTCGAAGAAGTACCGAGCACTTTCATTCTTCGTCGCTGGAAAGAAACTCATGTACCTGAAAAAAAGATAAAAGTATATTTAATGCTGTGTTAAGGACGTTTTTAAATTAAGAGTGATGGTGTTTACGTACCAATCAAGGCCCCTATAGTAATTTTTGCCATTAAAAAATTGTATCTCCTCGAAAGTATCCGGGCTAGGCAAATTACTGCTAATCGCAGGATGTAGAGACAGAAACGTATACAAGGCCGTCGTTCCTGTCTTCTGAGGTCCGATCACCAAAAATTTAGGTAGTTGATCACAAGTTTTATTTTTCGACCATATCCTCTGATGGCGTGGATCATCACAAGGATTCTGCAAACAAATAACAATTAACTTTATGCTTCTTTCACGCGAATTTTTCGATTCTTGTAGCATATACATACACCCCAGACAGGATCAGTTTCTTCAGGATATAGTTGAAAGTACCTCTCGCCAAGCTGCAACGGTGGTGCACTCGATAGCCTGAGATTCGTCCAACACTGAATAAACTTGATGACAGACTCGAAAGTGTATAGCGCCAGTCGATCGTTACCGTAGTTCGACATGTGCGTCATAAAAATATTTATCTGCGAAAAAGAAAATAAAAGTATCACAGGTAAAGTTTTAATCACCCTTCGTTATATCGCATGCGGTTATTGTGCGTCGACCCGATTTCACTTTTTTTATTTCGATAACGTATTGTCTCACGCGCAGGCGTAGACTGGTAGAGAACATAAATCGTTGCCTGCAAATAAAGTATTTAAAAATACAAGGATCGATTTTTGCCAGTAACCACCACCCATCGAGCGACAACAACTATCGACGTTTATCGTGTTTTTGTTCGGCCCGGCGTAAAATATATGGATTTTTTTAATTAAAAAGTTTGATACATTTTACCCATCCGATGAATGGTCACGTCGTACAATGGTTGATTGCATAATGTCAGAACAAGGGTGGATCACTATAAGTATCCGTATTTTCAATGAAGACGTAAGCTGTTCTTAAAAACTTTTTTTACTTTCCAACATAATCTCCTTTTAGAAGAATACATTTTTCCTAACGTTCTAGCTATTTTTTAAAACTCTCTAGACCATAGGATTTTTCAATTTCTTCAAAATAAGCTTATATTTCGATGATGACCTTGTTTGAGTTAAATTTTCTTCCCGAGTGCCACGTTTTTATATTGGGGAAAAGAAAATAGTAGCAGGGAGTCAAATTAGGTGAGTAGAATGGATGCGGCAGCAATTCTTAGTGCAATTCGTGCAATTTGGTCGTGATGATTCTACACGAAAGAGCTGAAGCGTTGTCGTGATGAAACTGCACTTTTTTATCGAACGAAGCCGTATCTCTTATAATTTCTCATAGAATTGGCCCAATAAAGTACGGCAGTATTTCCCCGCTACTATTTCCCAAAAAATACATAAGAATTATTATTCTCTTTGATTTCCGAAAAATCATAGCTATGATCATTCCGGTCGACAGCACTATCTTGGCCTACTTTGGAGCAGATTCGCCTGGAAAACTCACTATTTTAATTGTCGTTTGGTCTTTTGTATATAGTATTGGATTCGAGTTTTATCAACGGTTATTGCGCGACACAAAATCCACTGCGGATTTGATTATTGTTCTTTAAGATACGCCTATGATTTTTGCTACTTCGCATACTTTCTTCCGATAATTAACAAAATTCATGACTTTTTCAACGATTTCTTCAGTAACTACATTGTCGGGCGGTCCCCATAAATAGTATCTTACTTTACTTTTATTTCTTCATACCTTTTACCTCCCAAAAATAAAAAGCGAATCACCGATCGATATTGCTCTTCTTTCATTGTATTGAAAAATATTAAACTTGTTAGGTGCAAATGGCTGTCAAATCAAAACTAGCTGATGAATCACTGAAATTTTGTTTGAATGATGCCAGTGCACAATCGTAATACTTACTAATCCTAGCAACGCCATCTATCTTCAAATACGGACACTTATTGATCAACCCTCGTAGGTGTAATAATAACGATTTCCTTTGTACGCAGAAAAATGTTGAATAATTAAAGAAATATCGTTTCCGGACACGTACGCAGCCGTTACCGAAATTTTCACGCAAATTCGAAAAAAAATTGTTAACAATTTTACGATGGGTATGCCCTGAGCACCTATACTTCTTATCGTAGGCAAATTGTAAAGGCAATCGTTGGCAGAAAGATTCAAGAAGCCATTTTGCTGCTCAGGTTTATAGATGAAAATTGAATTCCAACAGAAAAAAATTCAACGTTTCTATTACATCATTTCTAATATATTTTAACAATCCCCGGAAGGCAATACAGAACGTTACTCGCGTAACTATCAATGATTATCATCTAAAGTAGAATAGCGGCCAATAACAAATATCCGCGAGGACGTTGTCGACAACAGCACCATTGGTGGCCGTTCAAACAACATAACAGTAGCAACTGCTGGTCAGAAGATATGTACGCTTTGGGGGCTTACCGGATTGTAAACGATAGTCTGGAATAGTTCGCCACCCTGGATCGACTCGTCGAGCTTATCTCGACCGCCGGGATACCTCTCGATAAATATTGTATGCGTAAATAGACCACACGTCTGACGTGGTAGTACCTGCAAAATAACAAAACCATGCGAATCACTTGATTCATGCACAATGTACATTATGGATTTAGCCTAGTTTACGCCATGCTGCATTGAAAACTTCCAGAGCAAACTGCACGCTATTGAATGTAACCGAAGAAGCTAAGCTAAAAGCGTGACTTGTGAAATTATTGAGCGTTTTCTCTTTTTTGCTCAGATGCTTGCACAAATGTTTTGATAGCTTTGAATTTCAAATGAAGACATGTTTTTCATGGTGCACTAGTAATACTTTTAATGGAAAAATTGCGACAATGAAAAAATAACATTTTATTAATCATGGAACAGACTGTATTCTAATTTGATAATTTGTAATTATTACAAAAGTAATAATTACCATAATGCCACGATGTACGAAGCCTCGTCTGAGTCTCGCTGGTCTGAGATGAGGATACTCTTCAGTGCTTGTAACTTTAATGTTCCAGACCTTCTTCCAAGCTTCGTAGAGACCTTCGTGTACGGGATAAACGCCCGAGTGATGAGGACTTACGCTGTAACCGCTTACGGTCGGTATGCCGTGATCTTTGGCGAACTGCTTGTTCAGCGCCATGTCCAACATCAGGTGGGTCACATTCTCGTAGAGATGGGGTTGTTGGTGATTCCACATGTGGGAAAACCACGTAAATCTGTGAAATCGTAGTTCAAACGTTAGTAGAAGTTCTAACTTCAATTCAATTTCATTATTTCATTACCTGTCGACGTTCTCGAGTATCATATCGTCCCCCGAATTCTCCTCTGCCGTCCCGTGATGAAAGTACTTGCCGGAAAACCCCAAATTGAATTTGAACCCCGGCACCATAGTTTGTATCCTTTGTTGTGTGGCCAGTAATGCGAGTACGTCGTCTTTTTTCAATCTCGTGCTTTTCTCACCGACAAATATATCGTCCACGTCGACGAGAATCATGCGGTTGAGACTTAGACTTAGTTGACCGTGCGACAGATACGACAGCGAATCCAATAGTAGCAGCTTGTGTAGCCAGAACTTTAGACCACCACCGAATAAAACACGCTGAATTCCGTCGTAGCGACCATGATCCTGTGAATCGGGAAAAAAAATTTATTTACTTTGGAAATAGTTTGATTTTCGCCAATTTACCCAATCAACTAAGCTTTTTCATTTTTATCTGTCATAAATTTATTGGCCATTCATCTTTCATAAAATTGTTTAGTGGCAAGAGGTATCGAAGCATGATTTATTTTTATATCATTTCTCGGCAAATATTCATCAATAAATGCAATAAAATTGCCAATATTTGAATAGTTCGTTTTATTTAGCTGGAACCAAAAATCAGAATATTTTATTGCTTGCAAAATGAATAACTACATCAAATATTTATCGAAGCCATTTCAATATTTTTCACTGTTAAAGTGAACGGCGCTGCTGTGAGTGAAATGATTTATAACTGTCAGAGAGCTTCGTGCCTCTTGCAAAGAATAATGGCTACGATACCCCGTCTCCCGAGTCCAAAGTTGTCGAAACGATGCTCGCTTACTTGATACTCGACTGCCTGAGCGCTAGCGTCTTATTTTCCTACTTTTGACTTTCTCGAGTTTGTAATAGAGATTTGCTTCGTTGAATAAATTCAGAATTTGATATGTCATATTGTGTTGTGAGATTTCTCCTCGTCTCGATTTTCCAGATACTTTGACAATAAGTGAGCTGATTCTTGCAATTTAGAATTTTAAGAAACTATTTTTTTGTTAGATGAAGTTAAAAACCGACTTTACTCGCAGGTACAAGTAACATTCGAGAAGTCACCATTCAGACGTAAAAAAACTGCTTCATTCTACGAATATATGCATTAATGATACGTCGACTGATAAAAAAAATTTTAACAATTTTATGATAGGTATGCCCTCAGCAGCTATACTTCTTTTCATAGGCAAATTGTAAAGAAATCGTTGGCAGGAAGATCCAAGCCATTTTGCTGCTCAGGTTTGTAGATCAAAATTGAATTCTAAAAGAAAAAAATTCAACGTTTCTATTATATCATTTCTAGTGTATTTTAACAATTCCCGGAAGGCAATGCAATTCTTGAAAGATAACAAAACCAAACCAGAATAAATGCTTGATATTAAAATAAAATAGATATTAACGTAATATTAATTAATTTCGAGAAATAAATAAAACATTGTTCAACACTTAATATAAAGTATGCTACACACACTCACACTTAATAAAATGGATATTTAATTCGTCATTTAACTAAAGCCACTACACACGTAATTGAAATTCACCGATCGTAATAAGAGCTGATCGAACAGATCGCAAGGATCTTGCAAATTTCAGGTAGAATTACGAAGTGCCTCGATTTTAGTAGACCATGAGCGCGAGGGGACGAGGAAGACGGCGATGGCAATGAGAGCCGTATAATGTGGCCGTGAGAGAGGATATAGTGACTCACAGGTCTGAGAAGAGGATTCGCGTAACGCAGCCGAGTTATAGCCTCGTTACGTGGTCCGGGGTGACGAGCGTAATGTCGGGAATTGAAGTTCCTTTGCTACATGATATTTTCACTTTGCGAGTGAGTACGTAGTATCCCCCCTCCCCCCACTCACTCTCTTTTTTCAAATGCGTAACTCGGCGATTGATTCGTCGAAAGCAGATGATTTTCAGTAGTACGACTGTTACTTCGGGCATCCTAGCATCAGTAATTGGAATTTATACTATGGACTTGAATCGGCGATAAAACGTTTGCTCATTATCGTCACGCACATATACATACACGCGCACGCGCATACACGTGCACACACGCACACACAGAGGGTTTACAATTATAATCGATTTGGCAGCAATTGGCTCTTGATTTAATTATGTCGAGAGGAGCGGCAGCTGCGGCGCTGAAAATCAGTGCTATATACGACGAACCAGCTGCGCTGTCATAATTGGCTTATCACCGTGAGATTATTATTATTATTATCAGCGGATCCAATTAACGCTTTAGCTCGCTGCTACTGCTGTTACTTTTTTTTTGGTCTTCTTGCAACGCGACGTGCGTCTAGAGTGATGTTTACTCGCCTCGCTTGAATATATGTGGGCGTTTCTGCTATAATGACGTACGCGCTTTTTATCGGTGTATAGTATTTTTTATAGTGTGTTTGATATTTTTTAAAGTTCTGTAATTTAGATAAACAATGAATTTTTTATTTTACTGGATTTAATATTTTGAGAGCTAATTGATGATTGTTGCAATTTACCTTATTCTGTCTTTTGTGTTATTATATTGTCAGGTTACGATTTCACTTAAATACAATTAAAAATTATACGATCAGATGCAAAAGAAATATTGCTTCACTTTTCACACGATTTTTATGTGAAAATATAGCTCATCTAAGCTGAATATTCAAAATTAATAAGCGATGGATAACTTTATCATTTTTAGAAATTAGCGCTCCAACTATTGGTATGTACGCGCACCACGTAATAAATGAAAATTTAATGAATCGTAATTATGTTCGAAATTTTCAACGCTAGCTTCAGTGACTTATGATAACGAAATATTTCCTCTTGGCTGCAATATCCAATTTGTTGAACAAACTCAAGCAATTGCTATTAGCAATAAAAGCCAAGATGGAAGGTAAAGGGCGCTTTGAATCCACCACCACTTGGCTCGACGACGACGCAATAATCATTTGCAAAGGATTACGTTTCCTCTCTCTTTCTCTCTCGCTTAGCTTTTCTCGCTAGCGGATTAATAATATAGACATCTTCCAACGAAAAAAGGTAAGTATAATTGAATTCTCGCGAGAATGAATAACGCTCGCGTGTAGATAATGCGAATAGATTATCGTCATGTGTGATGTATGAGCTTCAGCTATGGATATTTCACGTTAAATCTGGTCGTTTGTTATTGAGTCCCACATTAACTTTACGCTTACCATTGTACTTTAATCATTATGCATGTATTTTAGTATCGAAATGATATTACGGATTGGCCGGTGCTGTGAAATATTTCGCGAGGATGTTTTACAGAACTAATGTCATCCGTGTACTGATCTCTTGTTTATATTAATATTAAATATCATTATTAAATAAATTAAAGCTATTATAAAATACACTGCATCACAGTACAGTTCTATGCTTTAATATTCTTAACATCCGTCAACATTAATTGGCAAATGAAAATTCAATTAAGTTGATATTCTAAGATTTAGTTACAATTTCAAACTTAATAACGTAGCATATCTTTAGGTAATTATCTATATAATTTTTATCTAATTATCTATATAATGAATAGTGAATCAAATTCGTTTCTCCTTCTTTTTCAAAATAAATCGTGCCGTTAGCTGGCGTTACAATTTACTTTTCTTTATTTTTTAATATATTTGTCGAGGATTTAAGACTTTTTGTAGGATAGATTCATATTAACCGATGTTTCGGTTAATAATGATAATTAATTACTGCACTAAAAAACCGAAGTTAGTGCACAGTATTTTATTTATGAAATAATATATTAATTTGTTCAATATGATGTCTTTTTAATGCCTGTAAATTATTTTACTTATTTTTATTCATTAATAGATTGAGCATAAATCGATCTAAAATACCTCTGTTATTTAGCGCCGTTTACTCATAATACGATTCTCGTTACTACATTGAACCAATCAGATCAGGAATAAAATAACTTCACTCGATAGGCCGTCTTTTTTTTACGTAGGAATCACTTTTTTATATAGGATCAGACGCGTAACATGCTCTTATCTTCTTTTCATTTGTTATTGTTATATTGATATTTACATATTTAACATGAATAACTTTTTTCCAAGATGTACTTCTCAATTTATTTTTAAATTTACGATTTATGATGTCGACACCTGCAATAAATAATCTTTTAGTCTTTTTTAACTGTACGGATTAAATTATTATTAAACGTTTATCCCATTTTTTAATAAAGATTGCGACATTATAACATTTATTTCACTACACATTCAAAAACCAGATTATTGGTTACTAATAGAAAATAATTAGAACAATTTTAAAGCATGACCTCTAGTTTTTACGAAAAGATTTACGCGCTGCTAGTTTTATAAAATAAGGGTTAACACAACACTAGACTTTATGTTTTTACTTTCATTAGCTTAAAAATGACCCATTTCGGTTATGATAAATCGAATTTTTATTACTAAAATATCAACTCAAAGCCATACACACACTTATTTGCGGCCATACAACAGTACATTACGTGACCACATCTCACCCAATCAGATTATGAAAAAAAATGCTACAACATGGCATCTGTCATTTTTTTATAAAGGGATAAGATTGTGTATTTCAAAATAATCAAACTGCTTTGCTTTTTGTTTCGTTACTTTGAAATATACTCCACCCTTTTAAGAAATCAAAAGCCTTTTTCTTTATTAGGCGTCTGCGCAAAGAGAACAGGCAAAGTTTTTTTTTAAGTAAGAACGTTTCAACCGAGCTTCTCATCGTTAGCGAGACAAGACCTTCTGACTGCATCAAAAAACCTCATCTCCAGCAACTGCAGTAGTAGTAAAGTTTACTTACATATTATTGAACTTTGGGTTTATATCGTCGAAGAACTCTACAGACCCACGCGAACATAAAAATGTCTGTTGTCCGATACAAAACTTTTCTGCAGGTAACTTTCTTTTGTCTCTCTCTCTCGTTCATTTTTATTGTTTTGTTTCTTAAACTCGAGGGTCAGTTTACGGTTGTCGTGACATGTGCCGTTTCTTTTGAAGGCGAGAGATAACAATATTGTGAGCTTTAAGAATACGATCTATACCGTCAAAGGGATTTAGGATTTATCGAGCTTTTATATATATGCCGAAAATTTTTATCTCCTTGATTTGGGATCAAAGAAGTTACGTATTTTATTTGAAGTTAGAAAGTGCCGACGTTTTATACATTCGTACAGCTATAATTTTTGAACAATTAGGAATATGATACGCTAACTATCTGACGTGTGAATCACTTTGCAAGAAGTTAAATTGCATCCCCAACGCCAGCCAGCTCGTGGTGGTGGTGTTACTTGATAAAGTTAAACTTCTATCAAGCCGAGAGGCACACAAACTTCATAAGTAGTTAGGATATACGGTAATATGAATAAATGTGATACCTTAATGATATCTTTTATGTTAAAATTGTTTTATTTTCTTCGTTATTTCATTGACATTGAATGATTAAATTTTTGATATAGACTATTTCAAATGATATTTTTATTTTTAATTGGCTCGTTATCGTGAAACATGTATTTAGATTGAAGCTTAAAAAAACGAATTAAACAAAACATCGGTTTAAATTCAATCAGTTTATAAAAATATAAAACAAACAAAATTGCTAGCCCTCTTTTTTTTTTAGGCCTTGATAAAGCAAATTTTTATTGCTATAAGTAAACAGTTATTCAACTATCTCGCGATTTAATCGTTCTCGCTAGATTTAATTGTTATTCTATGACATGGTCATAACTAATTTGAAAACTAAAACGCGAAAACAATCGATATTTAAAATGAATAAGATTAATAATTATAAATCTGCTGGCAAGAATCGAAAAGAATAGGAGTTTCATAAGCCAATTCAAAAAGCTTTGAAGGAAAAGAAGAAAAAATTGATTAACATTCAACGCTATCCCCACCCTACTGAGGGCGTGCGCTCTTCGTTCGTGGTGACAAGACGAAACAAGTCGAGGAAAAAGGAGAGGATGAAGAAAAAGAAAGTGGCACCGGCTCAACGTGCTCATTCTTCTCTCTCTTTTTCTCTTTCCCTCTCTCACGCTCGTGAACAGCGCGTGGAATCTTGCAATCGTGAATTTTTCTCTTTCTTTCTCTCTCACCCCGGATGTAAATGCCTTGCTGGGCCAAAACGAGACCAATAACAGGATTGTTTCGCTCTCTCTTTCTCCTCATACCTATTTCTTTTCCGTTGGGCTTCTTACGTGTATTCTGTCTCTCCTTTTCGTATTTTTTGCTCTATGTGCATACGCCAATGATTCTTTTTGCGGTTGAACGAACAAAAAATTTCATTCATCGAAATGGAACAGTCGTGAAACATTATAGATGTAGTGTGGGTTTTTTGCTAGTTTAAAGACAACGGCTTGAGCTTGTTTATGGCACGTACGGTAGAAATGGTGTATTAACGGGAATGGTTTTATAGTAGTGAAACATGAGGTAAGCTATACAAGAAACTAAGATTATACAGCTAAACTACACCAGTTCTTGTAAATGTTGAAAAGATGATTATTTATTTTATAAATTTGTGTATAAAATATCTAAAATATCTGCATGCGACAACCTGTCGTACGCATGATTATTTTAAATTAAAGCAATTAAAGTTCAGATACGAAAAGATTAGTATATGTCTATGTATGTTTTTGTTGATAATCAAATCTATTGCTATATATGGAACGTGATATCATAACCATCGTTAGATATAGATATATCCACCATGAAAGTATTTTATTTAATGATTTTACTTGTGGTTTTCATGATATTCTAATATTCGTTAAAAATCATATTGCTGAAAGTAATTCAATATTCTATCTAATGGAGGTAAACCGAACTGCATTATTTTAAAGAGTGACGCATATAAAATGGTCATGTGTGCGGTAATCTAGACCAAAATAAAATAGAATACCACCTATAATTGTCATGAAATTAAAAAAAAAAGAAATAGAAGAAAGAAGTTACTCTGGAGGATTAATGTCTTTGCTTAGCTGTACGCGGAAACGCAATACGCGACAGGTCCATTATTTTCGGGGGGCGAGGGGAGGGCGAAGCAGGATCACATGCGCAAATACAATCTCACGTGTGTTTCGTCGGAGAACTCGTGACTCGCGTTTTCACACAGGCCTGGGCGTGCGAACATGTAACCTTTTTTCGCGCGCCGCTACGCTCGTCGCGTCATTTATCTCGGGGGAGACTCACTCTCTCGTACTATTTTTTCCCAGCCTTTAGCCCGTAAACATCCTTCACCGCCTTTGTTTTATTACAGTAACATGTCGTTGTCGCGTCGCCGCGCGGGAAATGGATTAAATGAGCCCTCGCTCGTACGTTTCTTACGGAAAATCATTTATTTTTCAATTTGCAAGTACAGCGCTGACCCCATCCACTTGCCGCCAACGAGAGGGAATGAGGACAAGGCTTCGAAGACCTCATTAATTTTATTCCAACTTGCGTCAACTTTGGAGGCTATACCATTAGAAATGAAAATCGCTAAGTCTAGAAACCTGCAAGCTACTCTTTTATTCCCTGTCTGTGCACCTTGCCACGAATGCAAGACAAGCGGATGAAATAGCTACCGCGTCGGGCACATTTTCTTTTTCCTTTTATTTCGCCAGCATTATTTTCACGACATATTCATAATAATCAGAAGAATAATGAAATGACAAGCGATACGTTCCGTCGATAAAACAAGGCGCCGCGGTGGTCCGTAAAAAACAGTCGAGGAAATATTCCAACAGTGTGTTTTATTTCCCCTTCGCGTGCTTCTGCTTGATGCTCTATATTCGTTTCTTTCTCTCAACTGTTCGCATTCTCATCCTCTCACAAATATTTTGTTGTTTTACGACCAATAAAAATGGCGGATCCATACATAAACGAGACCAACGCCCAATGGCGAAAAGGCAAACAAGAAAGTTTGCGCGACAGAGTAAGAAGAATAGGAAGGAAAGAAGAAAAAATGAGCGTACGAAGTACGATGAATGTCTCCTCCGTGGGATTACCGTTGCTAAAATAGCCTTTCTCGTCTTCTACTGTGGGAAAAAATAGAATTGCCGAGACCACGACGAGGGCGGCTGCCATAATGAGGTGTCAGAGCTGAAGTTTTTTTTTCACGAAAATGCCAAGATGCGGTTTGCTTTTGACCGTCTAATGACTACTCGCTGGTTGAATTATGCGACAAAAGGAGATTGAACGTGGCTTGCGAGCTTTCATTGCAAGATACCAACAAGTGATAAGTAAAATAGTAAACTTTTTACGTAAAAATAAAAAATAAGCGCTTAAATGCCGCTACAAACATATAAAGTTTACTAATACCGAAAATGTTTTTATGCCAATCAACAAAACAAAACGAAACAAATAAAACATAAAACGTAAATTTTAGGATGATTAGCAGTTTAGCAGACGAACAACTGGCCCAGGGCGATGAAATAACTTTTCCGATTTAATTAAAAACATAACGAATAAAATAACGAATTCATTTTAATTGGTTTTTCCGGAAAAGTTAATTGAATGCATTCCCGCTCGAATAAATATGCTTTCCCACTCCGTACATTGTCAAAGTAATTAAATTTGAAAATTTAGATTTGCCACTACGCTAACGAGTTATAAATTAACGCAAGATATCACGCTCATGCAATTAAAAAAAAGAACTGTTGAACGAGCTGCCAAGCTTGTTTAAACCCACTGGATACAATTTCGATATCTGAGTTTATATTGTTGCTACATAATGAAATAGAACGGAAATAATTTTGTAATTATCAGACCTTATGTTATTCATGGCGCTCTTTTCAACAGTGGTGGTTATAAGTTCATAAAAAAAAGCTATTGACATAATGAAATCGAAAATGAAATAAAAACGGAAAAACGTCATTAGAAAGTCTGAATAAATTTAGAAGTATTCTTTGACAGAGTCTAAAATATTTTTGTTCCTATTAAAAGTAGAGAATTTACTGAGAATTTCATAAGAACAAAGATATCTTGTAATTTATGAAAAAATACTTTTAATTTTTTAGAAATTTTATAAAGATAATTCTCCAAATTTCTATTCCGTGAAAATTAAAAAATCGAAAGAAAAATGTTCCTGAAAAAACTTAGAAGTATGTTATGGCTAATTCTAAGATATTTTTGTTCTTTGAATATTTTTATAAAAGTTTGTGGTTTTTGATCAAAAAAATTGTTAAGTTAAAAAAGATTATTTGTTATTTGGACCGCTATTTCGTTTAATAAACAAATTTTCAGATTAAACAAAACTTATTTATTTTTAGTTTAGTTATCGAGGCAACCAGTCAGATAATTTTTGGGTGCATAAAAACATATCAATCGAATGAAAAGTCTTTAAAAAATAATTGAATTAAAAATTAGGTTTCTTTATTTTTAATTTTTTTTATGTTAACAGTTTTTTCGTATAAACTGATAACAATCACTATTGGAAAGATCGCCATGATGAACATAAGGTGTAGAAATTTCGAAGTTTTTTACGTGGCGACTATATAAGCTCAGATGTCTGTTCTAGGGAAATTAATGGGTTATTTAATGTGGCGTACACTAATAACACCATTGAATTTTGGAATACAATTCGCAGAAATGAAATCAAATATTTTCCGTTTCAAAATAAACTTCACTCACTTGTATAACAGTAGCCAAAGGACTACGATTAGTCACGTAATCAATACTATCCCTATGGGCCCAAGCGAGTGGCTCGTAGGTACTGTGATTAGGCTGAAAAATTGTCCAGTCGTATCCAGGCAGCGGTCCCCATGCCGTCTCGCCAGCCCTCGTTAACCTCAGTATCGGCGACGCAGCGTTCAACTGAGCATCCTGCCAAAAAAATAAAAGAGAAGCGAAAAATCTCGTGAGAGAGACTTATACGCAAACGTGATGGGAATGTTTTATGATTCCAAAGGGGAGTTTTTTTATTACTCCGACGGCATAGAGTTTTTCGATGAGGGTAGTTTGTAGAATTGATGAGATATGGATTTTACACTCGCGTTGTGACTTTAGAGATAGCAGTACCATCGAAAATTTTTTTCTTTGGAAAAAAAATTAGAATAAGAAGTTAATTTCCGTATGAATTATTTATGGATTATGCGAATGAAGGATCTGCAGAATATACATACGCGTAACGAAATATCAGCACGATTTTATAATAAATAGAAAGTTACGCTGTAAAGTTGTTATGTGTCTCGCAGACTACGAGTGTATTATTCAGTAGAACGAGTCAATATGTAGTCTTCCATTATTACGACTATTTATACCCGATGAAAAATTTGCACTGTCATTTTACGCGTAAGCATTCGAACAAATAATTTTTACGGAAAGTAAATATCAGCGAAAAGCCAAAGAAAAACACAAACCTTTAGCCTAAGATTGGTATGTACAAAGAGAGGAAAACCCTTGAGTTGCGCTCCAACAAGGCTTTCCTCTCCGGGTGGCGTGAAACCGACTATCCCGACCGAATATTCACGGCAATATTTGTCAAGTAGCTCGCGATTCCACTTGTCCATCTGCAAGTATTTGTTCAGGTTCTCGAAGATCAACACTCCGTAGCGCCCTTTGTCCAAGTTCGTCAACACTGGCAGCGACTTCCCAGCCACTTCCACCTTATATCTGCAATAATCAAACGAAAACAGTGGTTATATATATTTATATGTGTGTGTGAGTGTGTGTATGCGGACGCACGTGCTAGAAAGAATAAGATTCGCAGCTAAGTATATTAATTGTGGAATGAAAATCGGTACAACTTCGATATAATTTAACTAAATAGTTCATAATATCAAGTTAATAATTGATATACGCGTTATAGTCACACGAAGACAAATCAGTTGTTAAAGGTTTTAAAATGTTATTTTTGTATTTTAACTAATACAGTAGTACAAAAATTTATTTATTTGTCTATTTTTACACTATCATGTGCCAAAATTCATACAATTCTTTCAATATTTGCAATATCAAAAAGGGTGTACAAAATTATCAGCCAATTTTTAATAGAAATGAAAAAATATGAGGACTCATTAACGTGTAAAATCGCTTTTTGGAACACACGATTTCTAACGCACAATGTCAATAGAAAAAGATAATCCTTATAAAATCATTAAAAGTCTCAAAAAATCATCAAAAGAATAAGATTTCCTTTAAAAAGTCCCATATAAGAAATTTTCAAGTGAGCGTTTTGGCAATCTGATATTAGTTTTACTTGAAAATATGAATTACCCTATAATTTTTGCGCTAAAATAAAAAAAGCCAATTTTTTCAACGTTTTCTTTAAATTCCTTTTTCTTGTTGTTACATTCAAACAAGTATATTGAACTCTCTGAAGCAGTCAATGGAAATTCAGTTTTTGTTAGCATTTATACAATATGGCAGTTTATTTACCGTGTTGTATAAATGCTGATGATTTTTTAATTTGAAAAGTATCAGAATCACATAAAAGATTTACGCTAAAAAATGCTTAAAATTAACCAAAGAAATGAATAAGAGCACACTTGACAATCACTTATGTGAAATTTTGGGAAAAAATTACTAACATTGTCTATTGACATTGTAGAAATTGTGTGTGCAAGAAAGCAATTTTGTCCGTTAATGGGTTAATAGAGCCTCTTTACTTTCTAATAAAGAAAGAAAGAGAGGGACAGAGAGACCGATAAGCCAAGTCTCGTATAAAAATCCCATCACGCGCGCATGCTGGCCGTGGATTCGCAATAAAGGATTCTTATTCCCTCTCCTTTCCTTTTTTTTCTTTATCGTTCGTATATAAGGACTCCGAGAGTCTTGGAATGCTGATGGATTCCTGAGCATCCTTCAAGTGCCGTAAAATTTCGCTTGGCTTTCAAATGTAATAGGGGGGCTGCTGTTACCGTTGCTGTCTCTGTTGTGGAGATGAGGCGAACGAAACAATCTTACTTTACCAAGTGCTCATATTTTTAGGTGGGTTGCTTTATATTTCGAGGCCAATTTTTTTGAGCAGCTGTGTTTTATGAAGAAAATAAGTAATTTTTGAGATGGTTCATTTCTGCTTTTTTATATTTGCGCATTTCAATAAAAATGAAGCTGAGACCATTTAATTAAAAACTCCGGTGTTTAATGAAGAACTCACAACGAAACACAAAACAAAATCGAAAGGTTAAACGTCCTATCCGCGTGTATAAAACAAGCAGCGTGTATAAACAAGCATCACAGCACTTCATTTAATTAAACGACGATCGATGAAAGGGGATTACGAAAATTGTTCAATTAACAGCGATAAATAGAGGAGTGGCCTGAAATCAAACAAGTTTAGGCGCAAGATCACGATCGCAACGGTTTGCAGACGTTAATTAGTTAGGCAAGTAACGAAACTTTACTTTTCCATTTTCTACCGGAAAAGGAGGAGGTGAGCTAACCGAAATGATTGCTTTAGAAGTCTTTCGTTAAGTGCACATTTTACTAAGATTACTCCAAGTAATCCTAAGTTGTCGTTTCTTTCGAATGCACTATTTTCGTTGGAGATTTTTAATTAACGATTTCAGATTGCCATTGCTAAGGAATAATTGCGTGTCCAGCATGTTCAGTATTCATTTTTATGCATTCTTATTAATCTTTACACTGTTTGATTTGTTTTTTTACGTTTCTATAGTGTGGGATGAGTTTACCGTAACACAATTACTAGTATTGTCTATAGTGTAGATTATTGGCATATTAAGCGATTTCCAAAATTTAACATTTAATCAAAAATAACTTCAATCGATTTTTTTAATAACTTCAATATAATGTAAATATAACCGAACATGTTCACTAGAGAATAACATTAATATCTTTTTAACATTGTCAAATAAATAGAAATCAATCATGAAATATTGCGAACCGCAAATGTCGTTACATCAAACAGAAAACTCAGCAATCAGTCTCTTTTCAAAACTCTTCCTCTATCTCCTGTGACGCATGTAAAGCACGACTTTTCCGTTGCTTTCACGAGGGAAAAAGAAAGAGAATTAAAGCCGACGAAAGACGGCTCAACTGATGTTTTCTTAATCGAGTATTTTTATTCTTTAAATCGAATCTCAAGCCCAATATGTTTTCTCTCTTTCTCTCTGTTCCTTTCTCGTATTTTCTGGCTATGACAGCAACCCAAATGAAATTCACGTTTTTCCGTCTATCTCCTCTCTTTCGGTAAATCATTTATGCATTTTCACGTTTTCCGTGAGAAGACTCTTGTGCAATTACCGGCTGCTAGATTGAATTAATTAAAAATAAAAATTCCGAAAGCGTAAAGGCTAAAAGACCTGGCTGCGACGTGGCGTAATGAAGTTTTAATGAGCGCGAATCAGCACACTATGGAAGTCTGGATGGTGAAAAAAAAAACGAAGACAGCTATGTATTATCATTTATTTACACTTGCTTCTGCGTTTGACACTTAGCCGTAAATTCTACAAATTCTTGTTTCGCCCGCGATTCCAATTATCATACGCGCAGAAATGAAGTCAATAGTTATTCATTTAATTTAAATTATGCCAAGGATTTCGATACTCAATTATTCGAGCATTCCCTTCAAAAATAAATCAAGTTTATATTTTACTATTGCTTATTCCTAAAGTTATTTCCTCTTCAATAATTCTATGCAAAATGTTATTCTTTATTAAACCGAAGTACGAATGATTATAATAAAACGCTTCATGTTCATAAATATTCAATAAATATTGAATACGGACATTTCCGTTCGAAGTGAAAATTACATGAGAGCTCGTACATTTTAACTCTCGCAGTTGCGCTGCTCAGCGCACGACAGGTAACTCAATACTAACTTTTATCCACCATCAAAATTCAGATTAAAATAGGCGGTACACTCATACGAACGTAGGAATCTCGAGGAAATAAATATGAATCAGACAGAGAGAGAGAGAGAGAGAGAGAGAGAGAGAGAGAGAGAGAGAGAGAGAGAGAGAGAGAGAACTCGACTGCCATCGTCGTACTTTGAGCCCGTTGGAAAATCACGTTAGCATTGCAAAGCACGAAGGATTAGCCGAGAGTTTGAATCTTTCATGTAGCCCCCCCCCCGGGCCGCCCGGACGTGCGAAAAATCCGCGTGTTTTTCGAAATAATAAGTCGCACTATCGAGAAATGTTTTATGCCGTTCAGGGGATTTGTCGGGAGAGGCTTTTCCCACCAAGCCGAATATTTTTCTCTCGCGCGCGGCAAAATCTTTCGACTATCATGCAGGTGCGCGCGTGAGGAAAATATTTGCGCGTCCGTGTGCCTCGCGTTCTGCGAGTGATGCCAGTGGAAATCGACGAGACGTGAAAGTTTATCCGCGTGTGCGGCTTACACATATTATATGGTCGATTCTTCCGTTTTGCACAATAAAGTGGATTTAAAGAATCGGAAAGGGAAGAATAATGATCTTCTTTCTATGTGGTTGCGCTATCAGCTGACATGGTCGAAGATGGATGGGAATTTACTATTCATCTTTCAAACGTGAAGTCTTGCTGATACTGTGAATGACGTAAGTAACTTATTTCGTAGATATTTTTGAAGAAAAATGAAATGATTAAGCGTTAGGACATGATACATTTTTCGGCCAGAAGAGGGCAACGTCACCGAGTAAGAAGTCATGTGCGTTCGCGAAGCTACGTGCTAGATTATGGAAGATCAAGTCAACATTCTTTTATTAATGAATAAAGAAATACTATTCCGCGGAAAAGTCCTATCTATGAATATTGGAATGGCATATTTTTGTCCTTGTTGTATTAAGATATTTTGTCAGAAGAATAAATTGAAAGATTTATAGTTCAACACTGGTTCGTATATTCTCGATTGTGGCTTGTATTTGAAATAGCTCGAAATTTACTTGAGTAGCACGCAAAAAGAACTGAAACAAATTAACTGCAATTGAACTAAAATGCAATGGGACGGTGATACTTTGTTTCGAATGCGAGCATTGCGACAGAGATTTATTACTTTTGTTGCGCAGTTAATTGAAAAGGATGCTATTGCAAGCTGTCAGCTAGACGAAGATTACTCTACATATCAACTATTTTGATGTACTATATTACCGCTCTATTAAATTATCTTTTGTCGTTATGTGTGCTATCTCGGAAATATTACAAATAAAAATATCAAATAATGTATTTTGAAACAAAAGCATACATTATATTTCGCAAAACGAATAATGTCAACTATGAAACGAAATATGATATTCAATGGATTTTCACAATAGGAATACAAAATGCTTGTTGCGTCGGAGGTTGATAAAAGGAGGCAGTAGGAATAACGCAAAATTAATTTGAGCGAACTATCGTGCGACAAAGCGAGAGAGAACGAGAGAGAGAGAGAGAGAGAGGAAGAGGGATCTTTTGTTGAAGCTTGGCCTTTTGAGATTCGAGGCTATGGGAGGCGTGGCGCGGCATCGTTGCTGTCTCAAATGATCTAATTTAAAAGGATTCGCCCTGCGGTGCTTCATCGCGCTGAATGGTATTTCGTGGGACCTCTTTATTTGTCAATTTCATATTTCTCATGCTAATTGTTTTATGTCACCTTAATCTTCTCAGAATATTTTCAATTGAGAAAATGCAATTATGAGAAGATCTATAATATTTATGCTGACGTCAAATAAAATGCCCTGATCTATTCGTTAC